TCTCTCTCTCTCTCTCTCTCTCTCTCTCTCTCTCTCTCTCTCTCTCTCCCTCTCCCTCTCCCTCTCCCTCTCTCTCTCCACGGATTCACCTTCTGAAACTGTAAGACTCAACAAACTCTTCTGTAAGCTGCCTGGGTCATAGAGTTTCATTACAGCAGCAGAAAAGTAACTAAGACAAATATAGCACCATGACGGCTGGGAAGAATGCCTTCAGTTCCTTTCAGTTCTGGGGAAATGAAGGGAGTCTCTTGTGGGGTGGGGATACAGTGTGACCTAGCCACAAGGCAGCAACAAGGAGAGCCAGAACTCAAAGTGGCCTTGGATTTTGGGTGGTGGAGGCAGGCTCGCAGCTGCCTGAGGAAGAAAGCTCTCAACCACCTGGGAGATCTGCGAGGTTACAACACAGGCTGCTTTTCAGTCCTGGGGAGAAAGCTGCAGGGGTGTGGCCTCTGGAACAGAGGCACTAGAGGACCTGAAACCTTATACACACCACTCTCTAAGAACTTACTGACAGAACAGGGTTTTCTGCTTGCCAGGGCCAAACCCCTTAATGATGCGAAGATCAGAGCACCGATAAACAGGGCCCAATCCTCTACGATAAAGCTACAGAAGTTTGCCTCTGGTTTCCATGGCAGCCCTCTGCACCATGCCTGCTGGGATGACAGACAAATAAGAAGAATGTGGGAGAGGCAGGACAAAGCCTGTGGAAGATGAGTCAGCCGCCAAGCACGGAGGCTCGCACCTGCAATCCTAGCCCTTGGGGGCTTATGACAACTGCACCAGTTACTCACCGTCTAATGTCAGGACAGGTCTCTCTGGAGGATTTAATTGTTTTTTAAGAGGCCACTGCCCCAACTCTGTTATGGACTTTTAGATTACAGCCATGCCTAAGCTAAAAGATTAAAAAAGAAGCTTCTCATTCACAGTGTGAGCTAGGTACACCAGCCCCAATAGGCACTCCTTCACAGATACACAGTAAAGGAGAGGAGAAACCCACTAGGGACATCTGGGAACTTCAAAGGCCGCAATATCAAAGATGTAATCAAAGAGGGCAAAGAATGTGGCATGGAGCCTGAACTATTCAGTCCAGGAGCCAGGAGTCAGGAAGATACCATCTTCACGCCCTTACTCTACAACCAAGAATGTCATACTCTTAGAGGATTTTGCAGAATGAATTGTGCAAACTCCAAGGAAACCAGAAGAGTGTCTGGGGAAAATCTTCTTGTCCAAATTGCTAAAATGTGTCACACGAAGCTACAAACATGCTGTAACCTTGAGAATTCTGAGTTACAGGCCTCTCATGGTGCCACGGCCGCCGTCCATCCATTCTACGTCTCCTCCTCCACTTCCTCAGCCCCACCACCCCACCCACCTCTGTCCCTCACCCCATTTCCTTCTCTGCTTCTGCCTCTGCCTTCTACTTCCTCCTCCACCAGTACTAATAGCCATACCACTCAAATATACATCAGAATGGGCTACTAATAAAAGACAGATTCGCCCACATTAACAGGTAAAGATCTACTGAATGTGGCATTAAAAAAGCTCCAGGAGACCGAGAATGGAAAGTCGCCTAAGCTACCAGTGAGCTCACCAGTTCCTGACTCTGCCTTGCAGTGAGTCACCATGAAGCCTAATGCCAAAGCACTGTCAACAAGCTAGAACTGTCTGAATAATGCCTGGGAAAAAACTAGATATCTGTAGAGACAACTCAGAGACTTCGTTAGAGGGGGTGGATTTGGAGAGAAGCTTCGGTGCTTAAGAGCAGAAGACCTGAGTTTGGTTTCTAGCATTCAGGTCCATCAGTTCACAACTGCCTATAACTCCAACTCTGGGGGGCCTGAAACCCCTGGCCTACTCGGCCATGTGCACGTTATCCACACACATGCAGACAATTTGAAATAATTTAATTTCCAAAAGGAGAGAGAGAGGGGGGAGAGCTGGGGGAGAACTCTTCTCACCGATAAAGAAAACTTAGAAATCACAAGTGAGTTTCTTGCAGGCTCACTCTAGAAGCCCAACTGAAACTCTGTCACTTTTTTAAAAAAAAATAAATTAGTCTATTTACTTATTTGTGGGAATTAGGCATGCACCACGGAGCACACGTGGGGGTCAGAGAACAACCTGGGGGAGTCAGTCCTCTCCTTCCACTGTGTGCATCTTAGGAACTGAACTCAGGGTGCCAGGCTTGGTGGGAAGTGCCTACCTACTGAACCATCCCACCAACCCTATCCCTACCACTTTCTACAAGCACCTTTGAGAGCAAAACGGAAGCCAGCTCTGCCTGACGCCCTGAGGTGACCCATGTACTACACAGACAAAAATCACCACGTCTTTCTTAACGTGGTCGTGTTGTCTTCGTCATGACCCATGTCCTAATCAGACTTCCTGCAACACACCAAGTCTTCCTTCCTGGAGCAGAGTGTTGTCCTAGCTACTTGTCTGCTGCTGTGATGAAACATCATGACCGAAGCAGCCGACAGAAAGGGGGTGTAGTTTGGGCATACGGTTCCAGACGGATACCAGTCCATCACCACCTCAGTGGCGGCAAGCACTAGGAACAGCTGAGAGCTCGCATTTCAAAATGCAAGCAAGAAACAGAGAGCGAACTGGACATGGTATGAGGTTTGTATTTACTTATTTATTTTTTTCTTCTTCAGGCGAGAGCACAAACGTAGTCCCCCTCCCACAAATCATGCAGTTTAGTCTCCCACATTTGGGGAAATGGCAGGGGTCGGCACAACTGGAGGGCAATGAATAAGCCTCACCCTAGGAAAACCACCTTCATGATCATGGTATTCTCCCTGCCACATAAGTATGAGGCTTTTTAAACCCCCAACCTCACCCCCAGGGACACCTCCTCCAGCAAGGCCACAACTCCCAACCGTCCCTAAACAGTGCCACCACATTCAGCTGAGACTATGGGGGACATCTCATTGGAACTACCACATTCTACTCCCTGGCCCCCATAGTCTCACTGACCTTATAACACAAGTTTCTAACTTCAAAAGCCCCCACAGTCTTCTAGTCTCAACACTGTTTAATAGTCCCAAGTCTCTTCAGAGACTCCAGGCAACCTCCTAACAGTACCCCTTGTAAAATTAAAAAATATATTACTAGCATATAAGGGCACAGAGGATGTAGTACTGTTCCAAAAGTTAGGTAATGGGGAGAGTGAAGAAATGCTTGACCAAAGCAAGACAAGTAGCAAATCCTATAGTTCATGCCCAATGTCAAAGTGCTTAGATGGCTCTGCCCCTCCAGCTGTGCTGCCTGTAAGACCTCTCCCTCCCTCCCCTCCCCGCTCCTCTTAGGCTGATCCCACTCTCTGTGAGCAGCTCTCCTCAGCTCAGCACATGTCTGGGGCATCTCCAACACCCTGGGGTCTCCAATACAACTTAGGCTTCACTTCCACAGCTTCACACAATGACCTCTCAGGGCCTCCAGGCTGAGATGTCCTTCCCACACACCTGGCCTCAGTGGCTCTCTGTAACCAGGCAAGAAGACTCAACCACCCTTTACTGGCAAGAAGACTCAACCACCCTTTACTCAAGTATCTTTCCTGACGATGAGGACGATGTTGCCAGGTTTGACGGTCAACTTGAGATGGAATCTAGCCTCCTAGAATCACGGCTGGCTGCGGTAGCTTCTGTTTGCTCCTTACCAAAGGAGTGGAGGGTGGAGTCTTGCCCTAAGGCACCCTTCCCTTTATTCCAGTGCTGACCTGGCCTCCTCATCTCTTTCAGCACAAGCCTTGGTCATAACATTAAGTTTCCTGATGCTCTTTTCCTTTTGAAACTACATTTTATATTTCTTTCTGCTCTGCTTGCTCTTCCACTGCAGACCTGTGTAAGCGTGATCCCTAATAGCTACGCGATGCAGTATTTCCGAAGGCTGTGAAATCTTTTCTGGCAAAGATATTAGTCCATTACTTTTAACTGGGTCTCAGACAAGTTCTTAGGGCAAAGAGCGAAAGCAGCCACATTTTCTTTTGCCAAAATATCAAGAATGGTCTCTAGACCAGTTTCTGATACTGGTTCCCTCTGAAAGCTCTTGAGCTGGGCCTCCACAATCCACATTGCTCTCAGCACTGCTGTCTCCCAAGAGCCTACAAGGATGGCCCATTCTGCTCTGCTTACAACATTCAGCCACTTTTCTAGGCCAAGTCCCAAAGTCTTCCACAATCATCAAAAAAAAAAAAAAAAAAAAAACCAAATGGTAAGATCTATCGCAACAATAGCCCACTCCCTGGTACCAACTTCTGCCTTAGCTACCTTTATATTGCTGTAATAAAACACCATGACCAAGACAACTTACAGAAGGAAGTGGATATTTAGGGCTTGCAGTTCCAGAGGGACAAGAGCTCGTCATCACCATCAGAAGGAACTGTGGCAGCAAGCACCAGGCATGGCAGCTGAGCGCGCACATCTCAAACCATAAGCAGGAAACTAACAGCTGTCTGGATATGGTCCAAGGCTTTTGAAACCTCAAAGCTTGCCCCCAGTAATGCACCTCCCCTAGCAAGGCCACACCTCCTAAGACTCCCCAAACAGTGCCACCACCTGAAGAACAAGTATTTGAATGTCCAAGAATATGGGGGATATCACATTCCGACTTCCACAACTACATATCAATATACTAACGCGTTTCTATTCGTACTTTATGACACAGTATCCCTCCAGTTGTCCTCCGATGTCCCCTCAGGAACCGTGACACACAGCCATCCACACACATAAACACGGCACATGCGCACAAAATAAATAAAATGGAATTTTTTTAAAGTTAAAATTTCTCTAGCACCTCGAAGATATGTAAAAATCCAAAAGACTATTAAAGAAAAAATAAGCAAAAGTCAGAGTGATAGAGTGATCTGGGGTCTCCAGTAGAAAGTGCAGCTCATTTAACTTCAAACTGAAACATAGGGATCCTCCCTGCCCCCCACTGTACGCAGCGATCAGGAACAGCCGGCAGCGTGAGTTACCTGCATATGGGTACTGGTATGGCACCGCGTACGCCTGCCCATTGGCACCATAGACTACTTGAGTTCCTGCTGCGTATGCGCCACTGTATGGACCGTAGCCATAGACCTGAAAAGAAGAGAAAGCCCTGTGAGAAATACAATTTTGAGGGTTTTGAGGGGTTGGTGATATGGCTCGGTGGGTAAAGGCACTTGCCACCTGACCCGGTGGCATGCATCCCATCCTGAAATTCACATCATGAAAGGAATGAACAAGTCCTAAAACTCGTTCTCTGACCAGGAGCAGGATGCAGAGGGGTAACACACTTGGGAAGTATTGGGGGGAGGAATGGAGGGAGAACAATGATGTGATTATATTTTAATTTACATACATACATACATACATACATGGTGTCTGCTGACCTCTACAGGCACACTAGGCCTAGATCTAGATTAGAGTATCTAGATCAGATAATGGAGAGGCTATTCACTCAGAAATCCCAATGAGTACAGATAAAAAAGGTCTCAGAAGAAGTCCACTTTCTCTGCCCAATGAACTAAAGAAGGAACAGTCTAGCAAGAGGCAGTATTTTCAGACAGTTAACTTCTCCACACTATGCAAAAACAGACAAACTACCTGTAGGAACACCCTACTCCTACCACCAAAGGTCAGAGGTGAAAGCCCTAACTACCATGTCCAGCAGCTACACGCCTCCCTTGCTCCCACAGAGTACAGCCAGGAAACAACGGGTGAGGAGCAGGTGACTTAGTCCCTGCCGGATGACAGGACGCCTGCTCTACCCGGCAGCAGACCATGGAGTGAGTCACAAAGTCCACCATGGCGGAGTAGAAGCAATCTGCCCTTCTCATCCCCTTGGAATCAATAAAGGCATGGTAGGGAGTGAACCCACTCACTGGAAGCCATGCTCCTGTCAGTAGAGACTCTGGAGCAATACCAAGGAGTCCTCTCCTCCCAGCAAGGTGCTCAAGAGAACCTAAACTCCTAAGCTGGAACCCAGCACTGGCTGTGAGCTGAGAAACTGGACTTCTACTTCCACTTGGCAGGAGATCCGCCCAAACACACGATTAAAATAAACCTCAGAGGCTCATAGTATTTAAAGTATAAAGATTCTGATCAAGAAATCATTTTCACACAAATAGCCAAAAAGATCTCAAATAGAATGACAACAGAAAGCACCCACCCTGAGGCAACAGAGATGTCAGTGTGAGGATTAGGGTGCAGCTCAGTGGACAGAGCTTGCTAGGCATGGGAGAAATCCAAGATTCCACCCAAGCACCTGAGAGGAAAGATGCCAGAATTACCTAGAAAGGATCTGTATGTTGGGCTCTGATAAATGGGTGGTCTATGTGCAATGTATGGATACGGATGCAAACATACGTGTGCAGAACATACATGTGCCCGTGCATGCATTCAGGGGCAAGAAGAGGACACTCTATCTCTCTCATCACACCTTATTCCCTTGAGGCAGGATCTCTCACTAAACCTAGGAAAGATCTTTTTTTTCCTTTCTCTTTCTCTCTTTCTCTTTCTCTCTCTTTTTTTGTGGCAGTCTACTTGTTGGCCAGACTCTTGATGTAGGTCAGGCTGACCTCAAACTCAGAGAGACCCACGTGCTTCTGCCTTGTGAGTGCTAAGATTAAAGATGTGTACCACCATGCTCAGCTCTGGAAAAGAGTTTCAAAGTAACTATTATAAAATATGTATCCGTTAGTAAGTATGAAATAAATATAATTATGTGAAAAAGAATAAAAACGCCACCCAAAATAAAAAATTGTAAAAAAAAATCAGTATGAGATATATTCACTTTTTTATATATTAAAACATAAAGAATATAAATTTTGGGGCTGGAGAGATGGCTCAGTGGTTAAGAGTACTGACTGCTCTTCCAGAGGACCCGGGTTCAATTCCCAGCACCCACATGGCAGCTCACAACTGTCTGAAGATCCAGTTGCAGAGGGTCTGACACCTTCACACCAATGCACATAAAATAAAGTTAAATAAACCATAAAAAATAAAAAAAAAGAATATAAATTTTACCCAGGCAGTGGTGGCTCACGCCTTTAATCCCGGCACTCGGGAGGCAGAGGTAGGTGGATCTGTGAGTTCAAGGCCAGCCAGGTATACAAAGCGAGTTCCAGGACAGTCAGAGCTGTCACACAGAGAAACCCTGTCTCGAAACCTTTCCCCATGCCCCCAGAAAAACATAAAGAATACAAATTTTAGAACGAGGCAGGCTGTGATGCTACACACCTGTAATTATAGAACTTGAAAAGTTGCAGGAAAACATCAAGAGCTTACAGTATGCTACCCCTTGAAAATAGCAACATAGAGAACAAACAGAGACGTGCATGAAGCTCAGGGCAGGAACAATACTTCTCTCTAAACATGAGCCACTGGCTTAAGGGGCTTTGGTAAAAACCTTGTAAGATTTTGCAGTAACATAGATAAACGGATTCAGGGCTGGCCAGATGGCTCAGCGGATAAAGGTGCTTGGCTCCAAGCCCAATGGCCCGAGTTTAATCCACAGGATCCACATGGTAGGAGGAGAGCATTAACTTCTCCAAGTTGTCCTCTGGTCTCTACCCGTGCACTGTGGTGTGTAGGCAACACACACACACACACACACACACACACACACACACACACACTCACACCAACAACCTGCAACATACAGTTAGAACACACATCAGAACTCATAACAAGCATTAAAAAACAATCATATAAGCCAGGAATGGTTTCAGTAGTCACTGGAAAATAGTTTTCTTATTTTCTGGAAAGGATATTTTTGTTTTGATTTTATTTCTCAAGGCTGGAGATTAGCATCACTGGGCGACACAGCC